TGAAAAAATACAAAAGAATGATTAAAAAAGAAATGTTCAGTATGAGAGGGAGAAAAGGGAAATCACTAATCAGTCCATCCTTGGAAGATTTTCTCATAGAAATTAATTGAAAATTCCCTTGGACCCCATGGCTGACAAACAAGAACATTTCCTGAATTTGTTCAGTGAATATAGCAATATTTTCTTGACAGGGTAATGAATGAGACCTGGGCCTGGGACACCTTTTCATTAGTAGATACCTTGCTACATGGCTTGTCAGCAAAGGAACAGCAAAAGCTTGTTGAACACCTCTGTGTCAGGGGACTAGTATTTGAATACAGCTCAGTGACTTTTGGTTGGGGAGATAGGAGTTTAGCCTCAAATTACAAAGAGCTTTAGTGCCCTTCTGCTCACAGTGTTTCTGCAAAACTGTTCATTTTCTTCTCTTTTTTTGACTTTGTCATCATGAAAACAAGAACTGGACATAATTCAGGGCAGAACTGGGCCGTTAGCTGAAACCCATCATCTTGGTTGACATAAAGCAGCTATGTTCTGTGAGCAAGCAAGAATAACGCTTTCTTTTTCATTCCCCCCCATGAGAACTTACTCAAAATGCTTTGCATTTTTCTTGATTTAAATTTTGTAAGAAGGCCAATAGAGTGAGCTTTGACACATGTTCAACAATAACTCAGATAAGAATTAGCAGGAACCTAAATATGGCAAGCTGAAAAGTCAAGCCCCTGATGGGCCAAAATATAGCAAGACTCCATTTGTGCCATATTTTAATTATTTCTCATGATCTGAGTAATATCGAGGGCATCAATCATAAAAATAGCTAATTCATCATGTTTCCTTTTGATTCACTGTCCAAATTCCTGACATGCTTAAAATATATGTTATATTTAAGTAATCACAGCTTCCTTTGACATTTCCAGGCCTGGAACTATTTAAGCATATAAAGGCCTAAAATTAAGGTGCAAAAAAAAAGACAGAAAACTGTACTGGTGCCTCAAACATCCATTTTTCTTCAGGAATGTGGGTGGGAAGACTGGACTATTTGCATGCAGGATTGTGGTCCAGGCCCAACTAGGATTTTGAAGCATGGTTGCACCAAAGTTAGTTAGGCCTTCTCTTGACAGCACAGTTCAACTAACATTGGTGCAACCATGCTTCAAAATTAGAGTTGGGCCTGGACCACAATCCTGTGTGCAAATAGTCCAGTCAGTTGCTGGTGGTTATGATCCAGACCTAGATATAAGTCTTGTAGATCCTTCCTCTTGATGATGGTGCAGTAGGTTATACACCCCCACATGCAACAGGCCAGAAAAGGCTAATGAAGGGCCTAATTATTGTGACTAAGCTGTCAGTCAGAAAAGACCATAGCCCAGGAGGACTAAACGCAGCAGATAGACAGGTTGCAGGTGGTTTGAGATGCAGTGTGACAGAGGTTGTGGAAGTGCAATGTGCAAAGGAAGACTTGCCTAGATGTTGAATGCCCTGTGCTGTTCAGAAACCAGAGCTGGGTCTCTCCTTCTGATAAGGCCTCCATCCATGTTCATGATATCTACCTCTGGTGAATTCTGGGGTAACGGCCCTTTTGTCATCCACAACCCCTTCAATAAATTAGGGGCTCACTTGTCTTAAGCTGACAGGAAATTCAAGGTCCAAAAGATCATGTGCCCAGCCTTCAGGCTCTCCCCAAGATGGGGCTCTCCTTGGCCTTTTCACCTCCATGTTCATCGCTTCCCCTTGTGTTATGGTAGGATGGAAGGGGAACCCAAGTCCATCCTGTGCTTTTAGCACCATGCCCATTAAGCAGTAAAGGACAGTGGTTTCCTACCCCTCACCAAGCTGGCTCCTACTTTCCCTGCTTGGCAGTCTTCCTTTGGCCCTGGCTGCCAAAGGGTCTGGGATGGGGCAGAAGAGCGGGTTTTCTTTGTTTTATTTATTGGCTTGTTTGTAGCCTAAAACCGTGTCACTTGAAGACTGGCTGAGGAGCTGTAACCTGCTGGAGAATCTAACTGTGATTGTAATACCGCGTCAACTGTAAACACAGTTGCACATGGGGTCATCAATGAGCAAGGTATGGGCTACAAGTTGCCACGATAAGCATGGTTCATGAACCAAGTATTGCTATCCCCCCACGACGTTTAAAATTTCAGCATGAGATTGTCTTAGATAACAAGATTAAAAAAAAAAAAAAAAGCAGGACAGAACTTAGATTCTTTCTACATGGTTTTTGCCACTGGCAGCACCGTACCCAGACTCCTGGCAGCCCTGGGCAAACTTTTAGTATCGGGCTCTCCCTTGTCAGAGATAATGATCTCTCCCATGCCTGTGTCTGGCCCTGGCCTCTGGGCTCATGTTTTTCATACTTTTTCTTGAAAACAGGGGAGTCAAAGCTTGTCCTATATGAAAACAAAACTTTGAGGATTTACAAGACTCAAACAATTTAAGAAAAATATTAGCAAGCCACAATTGACAATATTTGCAACTGCCCAGGATGGGAATATTTGTGTTGTAAGGCCAGTGAGAACCAAAAACGCAGCACGTTTTTCCATACAGTATGTTAATAGCTCTAGGGAGCCAGATGAACCTAGGTGAAGGCATTTTTTCCTGTCTTGAGCTATTGTAGAGCATTGGCACCTAAAAGTGTGTTTCAGCAGCTGTTTAGAGTTGCCCCAGAGGTTTCTGGGTGGCGGGTGGGTGAAATAACGTTCTGGACCTAGTTAGGTGAATGCTTTATGGGCTGCAGGAGGAAACGCGTGGTATATACAGTGTCTATACCATGAAAGATTGTGTGCTGTAGCCATTCATCTGCTCAGAGTCTAGTGATGTACACTCACTTGGTGTCACTTCATTTTTTTTTTCCCCAGGCAGGATCCACCCATTGAAACTCTAGGCTTAATGTAAGATGTTATTTCCCAACAACATGCAGTTTTTGAATGGAGGGATATAGTGGTAACATATGAAGCACGCTTCCTCTATATTGGGAAGTTTATTTTAGGGTAAAATATCAAACCAGGATTAGAAACAAAATAAGCACTATTCGTTTACTGAAACCGAGGGGAGGCGGAGGTTGCAGAAGATGAGTAATGTGTTTGGACTAGGGGTTGGTTTCTTTCTGAAGAAGAAGGAATTCCACTTGGCTCGGCTTCATCTCCCTCTCAGACACGAATACACAAGGAAGCTGGGGTTGACTTTGGAAGTTATCCTAGTCCTGAGGATAAAGATAAGAGTATGAGAGAAATGGGGGCAGGTTGGTTCAGCCAAGGGCAGTTCCTTAGTGTCTTGAGGTGTGGCTACGCCACAGTGGCAGTGAGTCCTGTCTGCTTCCCACCCACCCATTTCTACTTCTACTCCAGACCCTGAAATACAGCTTTGAAGACCCTCTGGGACATCCTTTTGTGGCCATTCTCAAGACTTTTGATCTCTGGGGTCCTTGTGAATGGCTACTATGGACAGCCCTATAACAGCCTTGATTCCAGGCTTGGAGCATGTGATGAGGAGCAGGTCAGTAGGATGTGTTCAGAGTTGGTCCTGCTGAGACAGTCTGCCACCACCATGTAGACACGCCTGTAGGTATTTATACAAGAGAAATGGTGTGCCCGTATCTTGTGAAACAGATGCATTTGAAGGCCTTCCAGTCACGTTCTTATTTGTAGGCTTTAATCTTTCTGGGGCAGGGATTTTTTGTTCTGCATTTCTACGGCACATTGAGGTCCTAATCCATAATGGAGCTTCCTCTCTGTTTCTCTTCTCATGGCTTTTCTTTATTATTTCTTTATTATTATGATTCAATTTGCTGCTGATGTCATATGCACTAAAACGGTTTACTTCATCTGAGTGCCAAGTTGCACCAGGCTCTCAGTTTCCCCTCTAGCTATTGGGTGGACTTGGTGTATTAGGAGTTTGAGGCTTAATGTTTTTATTCTCCAGGCAAAGTAAATGTTCTCTGTTTCTGGAGTAAAAAAAGCCTCAGGCAAAATACACTATATCTTTGACTCTCCATTGGTTTTCCGTACTAGGTAGGCCTCCAAATTATCACCCTTCGTCTTTTCCAGCTTTGGCCTGCAGGGATTTCTTCTTTGTTTCTCAGGCAGCAGTGTAAGGGACCCAACACCTCAGAGGGGATATCTCCATGCCAATTTAAACCATGCTGAATCATAGGGTAATTTGCTATACAGGCAGCCCTGTTTAGCGCTCTTAACTGGTTCCTGAAAAACTGAGCGTTAAGCGAAACAAGCGTTAAGCGAAATGAGCGTTAAGCGAAGCCAAAAGTATTTGATGACCCAAGAGGGTGACCGCAATTGTTTTTAATGACCCAAGATGGCAACTGGGAGCGTTATAATGAATTTCGCTGAGCGCTAAGTGAAATCAGGTATCAATTTCAAATGAGAGTTATAGCGAAATAGCGCTAAGCGGGGGTTGCCTGTAGTGCTCTTTCTGGACTGCCTACATTATCAAAGGCCCCCCACCCCCTGCAAGCTTCTTCCCAGAGTTGTTCCAACTATGGGCTTTCCTTGTCCTTCTCAGGCCCTTTGGCAAGATCTCAAACACCTCCCTAGCTCAGTCCCTTAATAGAGAATCCCTGTTAGGTCTTCCTTCAGCCACGACCTCTGCTACACTGAGCAAAGATTTTTTGGTGACCAAATCCCTTTTTCAGTTATGCTGACCTGGGCAACCTCTGTGGTTTTACACAAATGTACACGAGGGACACATTTGGTTTTGCATCTGCTGATTTGTGAACCAGAATCCAAATTAGCTCACACTCCTGTAGCTGTTGTGTTGACCTTGTAGAGTTAACAGGACTTAGAAGTAATACACGCTTACTTCAATGGCTAGATAAAACCCTGAAAAAGCACAGGGGTGACATTCCTTAAAGTGAAGTGCCATTTTAATGGAGTTTTTGGAATGCAGTTGTACTGTAATTTGTCTCTCAGTACTTTTGAGGTCCATCAGTGGAGAAAGCTGTGAGTATTGATGTTTCTGTTTTTCCTTTTATGACTCTTAGGTGAATCTAATGCTCAGAAGAGGCAACAGACTATTGGACCTCTGTTGAAGACTGATCCATAGGAAAAGGTACATCAGTTGCAGGGCTGTGGACCACTGCATATGTTCTGGAATGACCTTACCCAGGGGTGAGTGTGGCTGTTTATTTTGTTCATTTCAGATGCAGACTCCCAATTCTGCTACACAACAATTGATTGGGCTACACCTGAACACACAATATAAAGGAGGGACATGATCATGTAACACAGCAGGACAGCATAAAGATATCCCTGTGTTCCCCCAAGCTTTGGCTGGCATGAGCTGAAAGTGTTTAAGACAGCGGGACTGGATAAGCTCCATCCAAGGGTGCCAAAAGAATTAGCCAGTGTCATAGCAGAGCTCCTGGCATGGCTGTTTGAGCACGGTGAGGTCCCAGAGGACTGGAAAAGGGCCAATGTGGTCCCTATTTTCAAGAAGGGGAGGAAGGAGGATTTGGGTAACTATAGATCAGTTAGTCTCACCTCTATCCTTGGGAAAACCCTTGAAAAAATGATCAAGGATCACATTTGTAGGAGCTCAGTCAGAGACAATTACACAGTCATGTGGGTGGCAAACTGGGTACCCAGACAGTGGTGGTGGCCGGGTCGGTATTGACCTGGAAAGAAGTGGGCAGTGGCGTCCCCCAAGGCTCAGTCCTTGGGCCAGTGCTGTTCAACATCTTCATCAGTGACCTGGTTGAGGGCATGGGGAGCACCCTGTCCAAATTCACAGAAACCAAACTGTGACCACCAAACTATGGGGCAAAGTAAACACACTGATGGGAAGAAACCGAATCCAGGCAGACCTGGGCAGGTTAGAGAAATGGGCAGAGAGCCATAGGATGCAGTTCAACAAGGACAAGTTCAAGGTGCTGCACCTAGGGAGAGGGAATCACCAGCAAGAGGGATGTGGACAACCTTGAGAAGGTTCAGAGGAGGCCACTCATATGGTTAGAGGCCTGCAGGGAAGGCCCTATGAGGAAAGTCTGAGGGATCTGGACCTTTTCAGCCTCCACAAGAGAAGGCTGAGGGGGGATCTTGTGGCAGTATGCAAATTCACGGGGGGTGGGGAGGGAATAGGAGATGCTCTGTTTATGAGAGCACCCCTTGGAATAACCAGGAACAATGGCCACAAGCTGATAGAGAGTAGATTTAGGTTGGACATGAGAAAGAACTTCTTCACAGTTAGGGTTGCCAGAATCTGGAATGGGCTCCAAGGGAGGTGGTGCTCTCCCCCACCTTGGAGGTCTTTGAGAAGAGACTGGACAAGCACCTGGCTGGTGTCACATGACCCCAGCACTTTTTCCTGCCCAGGGCAGGGGGTCGGACTCGATAATCCATTGAGCTCCCTTCTGACCCTAACATCTATGAATCTGAGTTGGAGAAATCCCTGTATGTGGCTATAAATTGTGGTAATTCCCAAAGGGTATCTAAGGCAGCTATTAACTGTGGTCTTTGAGGAACTCATAGCCTCATTTAATCCCACCTAACATGTCAGAAGGGAACATCTTGTTCTCATGGATGTTCAGTGACATTAATCCTGCACTGGAATAAATTATTGAAAGCTTTTGGCTCCAGCAGACTTTGGATCAGACCTCAGGGCTGAAGAGAGGGCTTTAAGGTACCAGAAATGTGCTTTCTATCATATTTCCCCCCAAATAAAAGGGGAGGTAAGCTGTCCAGTGACTTTAATGGGCCTCTGAGGCCGATGGACTCCCTTTCAAGTAAAGAACTTGAAGGATTAGAGTTTTGACATTTGAGAGGTTAACAAGAAGAGGTGGCATAGCCTCAAAAATAGTTCCCATGAGAGGAAATGATAGTGGGTAGTTCTACACATATTGCTATGGTGCTGTTACTTCCTTTTGGAAGTGCTAAATCACAGTGCAGTAACAGCCTGTACTTTGCTGTCTGTGTGGCACATGTTTCTTTTTAGTAGCTACTTTTTAGTAGCTTCTTCACTGTAGTAGCATGCTATACTGGGGGGAGTGTGTCACTATGGTGATGGAGCTGCTGGTCACATGTAGATGCCCACAAATGCTGTCACATGTAGATGTGCCCAGTGAGAATCACAGTATCTCAGTTTTCTTGTCAGTGGCTGTGTCTACACATGCAAATAATACAGGATCAGTTTACTCAAAACTGTGCTAGAGTAAGCGGTCCCAGGAATGCATCTACATGTGCAGGGATGCAGGAGCGGATTTGTTGCTCCTAGCAGCAACTGCTTCTGCTTCCTGTGGCCCTGCACTGGGCCCCTGCAGCAGCCAGGAGGAGCCTTAGGCTCCCCCTTGGTGCTAGCCCAGGGGCTGGCAGGGGGCAGGAGACAGTTGTCCCCTGGCAAGGGCTGGGACAATGTTCCCTGTCCCTGGGAGCTACCTGCTGTTGGGATGGGCTCTGCCACCAGAGCTGCGGTGGGGACAATGTTCCTCTACCCCAGCAGGAGGAAGCTCCCAGCCCCTATTGATCACAATTGAGGAATGGGGCTTGGGGCTTCTTATGTTCCAGTGCCAGCTCCACAGTCACTGGGCTGGCACTGGGAGTTCCTTATAGAATCACAGAATCATAGAAAACGAGGGCTGAAAGGGACCTCAGGAGGTCATCTAGTCCAAGCCCCTGCTCAAATCAGGACCATTCCCAATTAGATCATCCCAGCCAAGGCTTTGTCTAGCTGGGCCTTAAAAACCTCCAAGGATGAAGAATCCACAATCTCTCTGGGTAAGAATCTCCCAGCCTTGGTCCCGCAACCACATGGCTGGGAAATAAGAATCCAGCCCCACCTCCCCATTCGCGACCGCAGAGCAGGAGCTGGCAGCTCCCCGCTGCTGGGGCAGGGGGACAATGTCTCTGCCTGGACTATGGTGGCAGAGCTCCTGCCCCCTGCTGCTCCTGCAATAGGCAGCTCCTGGGGGGGAGGGAGCAATGTCTTGCCTCCTGCTGCCCAGCTGACTGGGAGCACATTTGCCCCCGGTTGGCCATCTACACATGCTGTACTGTGCAGTAAGTAATCAAGAGCAAATTTGCCACTTGTATTTACAGGCAGCAAATTTACTCATAATTGGAGCAAATTGCTGTGCAGTAAGTGTCGGCATGCATAGCTGGTGGTGCTTATGTTGCAGTAATTAGCTCTGATCTTGAGTAAAACATCTTGTGTATATGGTTAGAGGCAGCCCATTGATGAAATTGTTGATGACTGTGACCTCCTTATCTAGACACTTGTGCACCCACTGACGATTGGTTCCATCAGTTCTTAAATGAAGGGTCTCCCCTATAGCACCAACTCTATGGGACTCTTTCACTGCTCTCCTGGCAGCCTCAACACCCTTGGCATATTAGGTAATGAAGAGTTCAAATGCAGGCATAAAAAAGCTAGCTGCCAGGAGGTGGTGCCAGATGAATCAGTAGTGTCCATTGTCTTTCTGAGGCAGATGTTCTGATATTAAATCTATTGCCATTGGGTTTGATGGGACAGAGCGTGCAGAGCTACCTCAAGGCTATAAAGTGGAAACTGGAACAATGCGACGTAATGTGGAATGTTCCCCAGTATTGTTTTGAAATTACACTGCAGAACACCCTTGTGGGAATGATTATTTGAGATCTGCTGGCTTCATGCTGTGGCTGTCAAGTGCTGAGGGAGGTAGCATGAGCTAATGGCAAGGAGGCCTCAGTGCTTACCAAGGCTGTGAGACAGTCTTCATCTCCATAGCCTTGAAAAAATCATTTAACCCCTGGCTCCATGTCCCCACTTGCGAGGCAGGGTGACTTAAGACTTGCCTGTCTGCCTAGTGAGCAGGGACTGCAAAGGCTACACCATTTAATGTCTGCATCCTTTTTATGACACAGCCCCTGTACCCATGCAGGGGTGCAGACTCCTGCCATTGGTATATCTGGCTATTCTCCTCCCGTACACAATTCCTTTTGTATCTACTGTGTTTATCAGGCTCCCATCACTAAAGTACCTTGATGATGAATCCAGCCCTGGTGTACTCCTGCTCTCCGCTTCCCTTGCACGGTGAGAGTCCTACCCTGAGACTTTTAAGACATCCAAGAATCAATGTGGACTAGAACATATGAAACCACTTAAGAAGTGGGCAACAACAGCAGACTGAGGCAGCCTAGAGACCTGATGCTAAGATTATCACACAAGGAGAGCAGAGCTGCATGCAGGGTAGGAGCAAGCAGGATGTTAGTTGTCTTCAGGCAAAAGGGGTTGAGGACCTAACCCAGTAACTTGCAGCTAGGGTGCCTTGAGATCCTTTCAGCAATGCCAGAGGGTGCCAGGCCATGTGAGCTCTGTTTGGCATGCAAACACGATTCACAAAATAAACGCAGAGTTTTCAAGTGGGAATCCATAGGCCCCTTGTGGCCTTTCTGAGTTCTTGGCAATAGAAGAATTGCCCTATTATTTTTTCTATAGTCAAAAATTGAGTGAAAACTAAGAGCTGGCATTTTCAGAGGGGCACCTTGAGTCTAAAACGTTTGAGAGCCACTGTCCTAGACATACTATTTATGAGGCATGAGAATGTGGGGCCCTACTGGGTTAGAAGATCATGCTGCGTAGATGAGTCTGAACAAGAGCCACGGAAACTGTAGCTCTTGTTTAGCATCTCAAATTTAGCCAGGTTTTGTATCTTCAGCCTGTCTTACTATGAGCCCTCTCTGGAAAGAAGAGTCCCTTTCATACAGTCCTCACTGACTCCCAGGGGTCCTAGCTTCTAATCAATAATGTTTATAGATGTGGCAAAACTTACAGGGTGGCTCCAGCAATGCCAGAGTCACCATTAGGAAATGGAAATCTCTTTAACTCAGAGGACGACCGCATGGCATAATTTGACAACAGATTCTTTCCTATTGGTAGTTGCTGAGCCATGTATTACAATGGGTCTTTTCTGAATCAAGGGCCTGCTACCAATTTGGTAATTACATGCTGAGAAGCAAGATGTTCCATCTACGTCAGCTCCAAGAGGGGAGAACTCTTTAGTTTTGTGACAACTTGGTCATTGTCATGAACGGCTAGTTAAAATAACGACTTGAACCTGGTTAATTTGCATCTGGAATGCAAGGTCCCATAAAGGTAATACGAAGATCTTCTTGAGATGCCATGGTCCATTTCATCAGGGCATTGTAACAAGGCTGCCGACAAAACCAAGCCCTACTGTGCAAGAGCTCTTTTTCTAAAGTTTCCAGAAACATTAAGTACCAAACATGATTCACATTCCAATAACATTTGTTTCTGTTTCAATCTTCAACTGAATAATATAGCCCTGGCCCCTAGCTTGTAATAAAGATTCTAGTTGTCTTTTAACTGGAGAAAAATATGTGTTGTGTTATATGTGATGAAGCACCACAGCATTTGTATCCCCCTTTTCAAATCCCTAGATCCACCCCTGATCGTGGGATACTGAGCTAGATGAACCTTTTAAAATCCTTTTTAAAATTTTTGTGTTTGGTCCCTGGCAGATGACTGCGGACAACTTTCCGGTTGAGATACGGCGTATGTGTAAAGTCCTTAGACAAGTTGGAGGTCTCTGACCAGTTTGCTCAGTGAGTGGAAGGCCTCAGTTCCATGTTCAGAGTTAGGCTGAGATAATTGCATCTATTTAGACCCATTTGAGGGCTGGAGTTTCTACTGATAGATGGTTTCCACAAACTCAAAACACTTCTCAGCCAGATAAGATCTCAATGTCCTTGGTGAAAGACTCCTGGACCCTGAATCCAGCCTCCTTCAAGGCAGGTCAAGGATATGTGTCCCTATTTGAAGGAGAGTGGCAGGTTTGGCCACTTTACTCCATAGCAGAACATCTCCCTTCCCCTTTGATTCCTTTTTCATCTTTGTACCATGAGGGATGGGAATAAATTTCAGCTTAAAGTCACCAAACTACTACTTTTCATGATTTTCTACACTGTTATCACAATGCTGTTAATATTTTAGTAAAAAATGCACTAGTGAGAAGCAAGGATTTTTGTGGGTGACTTTTTTATTGGACCATTTGTATGGTTGGAAGGGATATGGACAAGCTTTCAGGTATAAAGTATCCTTCCTTGGGTCTCTCAAGCAAACTAGTATTATTCTTCTGACTTAGCCCCCTACTCCCCCAGTCACGTAGGTTAAACTTGCCTGCAGCATACATCAATAAAATAAAAGGTTTATAGCAAGTGCAGATATAAGTTAAGCTAATTGGAAAGGAACCTTAACGTGGCTGTAGTCATAGACTGTAAAGCAGGGGCAGGAAATTATTTTGGATGGAGGGCCGCTTTACTGAGTTTTGGCAAGCCATTGAGGGCTGCATGACAGGCAGCCCAGGGCAGATAAATATTAATTTTCTAAATTTTTTAGGGGCCCCGTGGGCCAGATAGAATAGCCTGGCGGGCCGCATCTGGCCCCCAGGCTGCATTTTGCTCACCCCTGCTGTAAAGTAACAACAAAACAAAATCTGTAGCAAAGACCAGGCCTGGTATGGGAGTTTAGATAGACACAGACATGGGAAAGAACTGCTACTGCTAAAAATATTCTTCCTTGAAAGAAAAGGGGGTGGTCACACAAAGAGCAATACTGAGGACCAGTGCTTGTGGAAAGAAGATCTGGGCTTCATGGAGCAATCGTATATCTTGTGCGAGGAGAAGCAACTTTCTGTTAGGCAATCTGCCTATCAATAGATGGGTCATAAAGATCTATGGGGCTGATCTTCAGCTGTACACATCCACTGACTTTAATGGAGTTGTGAGAGTTTATATCATCTCGCATTCTGCTTCTATGGGACTAAGAGGAAGTCTCTGTTAAAGTAGACTAATCTGTTTTGCAATTCCAGCTCACAAGAGGAGGCCAAAGATTAAGCTATTCTGTAATGGAACGTTAAGTGCATTAATGTAATTATCTTTGCATCAATGCAAGGAGTTTTGGAAGAAAACAAGAAGGGTTACTAAAATGTTGTTAATTATGTTCTAACAACCAAGATAAGGGAGGGCTAGTGAATGGTGCTGCACCATATGTCACAGAGCAATGCTAATGAGCTACAGTTGATAATGACGATAGCAGTGGGGAGATTTGGGGTAATGTGAAATCTCACATGTAATTTGCTTATATGGCAGTGGGTGTGTCCTAGAGATCTATGTGCTAGTGAAAGAATGAATGAATTGTTACTCAAGCAACTCTAAAAGTATCCTGAGGAATGTCATCATAACATAACCATAAGAGATGCTGAGTACTTTCATGCCTGCTAGATACTGTTCACCAGAGAGGTTCTGAAAGTTATGACTTTGACACATCTACATGTGCATTTAAACATGACTAAATTTAATGCACATTAAGATGATGTACCTTAAGCGATTTTTGGTGGGGTTCTACACATGCAGGGACTTGGCACTAAAATTAGTGCCAAGTCCCTGCAGCCCTGTCATATGCCCCTAGTGGCTGGGCAGACCCAGCACTAAAGTTTGTGCCAGGTTGTATCTACACGTGCTTTAATGTGCTTTAACTAATTGTGCCTAAATTTGATACCTGCGTGGCTGCAGGTATCAAATTTAGACGTGATTAGCCTAATTTCACCATTTTAAATGTGCATTAAGGGCACACTTGTGTAGACATGTGCCCTTAATGTACATTAACTTAGGCTAATGTGCATTAATGCGTCTCATGTAGATATGCCCTTTGTGACCCAGAAAGCAGAGCACCAGACTTCTTCCAGACTGTAAAGAAATGGTGGTTATCAGAGCATGCTGAGTGCCATCCTAGCTGGGACAGGCTATTGCTCCAGTGTAGACCCACATTTAATGTCCATTTTAACTCTACCATACAGCCCAACATTTCACCATTGATTACCTTCAAGAGCCAAGTCCTTGCTATGTTCAGATTCATTTTTAATGGTCTCTAAATCCAGAGCTCTTGCTTGCATGTATGATCTCAGTGTTGTTGTTTGTCTGAGGCCAATATAAAATCTTTATTTTTTTAATCCAACCATTTTCATATGATCTTTTGAACATATTTTTCCATGATGTCTTATGCTTATTATCCTGTGCCTTTCAACAAAATCCCATTTAGTACCGAGCAATCCCCATTAGATGGATGGAAGGTGCTGGGAACGTGCTGTCCTGGCCGGGCTGTGCTAATAGCTTTAATTATTTTCTTCAGAGTCTCATCCTCAGCAGTAGCTTCATCAGTCAGAGTCTGTGTTGATTCTGAGATAGGAGAGGCTTTTGAAAAAGTATTGACAAGCACATCCTCTAGCTTTGGACTCTGTTGCATGACACTTTTGTCAAGGGCTCCAGAGTGTGTGTTTCCCACCATTAATTCTCTCCCAGGTTGGTAGCCGGTGTTCCAATCATACATTTATAGCTGAAAAAATAACCTGTAGTTTTGTAGCAGTGTGTGTAAAGGGTTTTTTTGTCAGGCCTTTTTTGGCAACAGCAACAAATGGTTCAAGTTAAGTAATGAGATTAAATGTTTTAGACCCATAGACTAAAGCTCTTTATTTGAGCACATTGACGTTATTTTTGTCAGTGCTCATGATGTATAAGCCGCTGGTCTCTTGTTTTGACCATTCTGTCGTAAGAAGACTGTATCAGCGTCATCCTCAAAAGTATTTCAAGTTGACTTAGTTTTTTGATTACTGTCCTAGTACCTCAGGACTGATACCTCTTTCACTTCAGTTTCTCAGACTTTTTTTTAATGATTTGTATCCCGTGCCCATTGAACAGCATTGCAAAATCGTTTCTCAGGTTGCTGGTTTGGGATGCTTAGTTACTCACATTTCTCCTATAGCTCACCATTTCAGGACTCTGAATGTTAATTCCCTTCCATGGGATTTACCATTTTTGGGGTTTATTTCTGGCTCTAGCAGGTCTTTCCAAAACTGCCTGAAATCTCTTGTCATAGTCTTCTCCCATTTTCCTGCAGATGAACGCACATTCTAGGTAACCTGTATCACCTTTGGACCCTCAAAACCTGCTGGAGCTTTCTAGTGAAACATCTCCGGTGCCAAATGTCACCATACTAGGAGTTTGTACAAACGGTGTCTCTGAAAGGGTTGAATGGGTTCAGAGCTTTCTCAGGTGGTCTGCAGGAACCCCCCTGATGCATCCAACATGAAAAATGACTTGGCTGAATAATTTTCTGTGATGGCCAACAAGTATGCACACTATTGCTTTCTTGATTCGTTCTGTGCTTTCCCAGAATGACAAGCCCCATCCTTTCCCCCTGTGCTTCTAGCTTACATATGGCTTTAATAAGGAGAAGATGTCATGGTAAGCCCTAGGTTTTACCCACTAGTGAGGGCGTCCACTATTGGCATCTTTTTTCTTTTTTTACTCCAGTCCAACTTGAAATGATTAAGCATCCCTTGTGTTGTCATGTTGACAGCTAATTGCCTCCTGCTGAAATCTTTTCTGTTGCTCCTATGAGAAACTCCTCTGAGCTAGTGTTTTTTAATCAGTCTTTCTCTGTATTCACATGGTGCAAGCTATGCTGGTCATTGCACTCTTCTGCAGAGTATTAAAATATATCGCAGTCCTTTTTATCTGTTCCCAAATGCTGCGTGTTGTCCTTGCCCGGGCTGGTTGTCACAGCATGTGTAGTCCCACGTGCTGGTCTCACTTTATTCAAGCTATGAGCACCGTCTCCTTTCTGCTTCTCCTCTCTTTTCTAGGGGCAGTTTGACTTCTCAGTCATGCTACACACTAGAAATGTCAGCCCGTGCTGGGTGGGTGACTTTTATTGTTTGCAAAATTCAAATTGCCTTAAGTGTCCCAATAATTTCTTTTTTTGACTTTTCTTAGGTCCAGGCTCCCCCTGCAATCTGTTCTCTTGTCAGGCACAAGAGAAATTGCCAGCTTGGCTGTTCATCCAGACTCTGCTATAGTTTCATGTTGTGTTCTCGCCGGCTAAAAACATTCCTCATTTCATTTGTATGTGGAGTCCTGTGCTCCTCAGATGTCTTCCATATGTTTTCATTATTAATCTCCTCTGGCAGAAAACTATTGAGCTTATCAAGTCCAGCTGAACTTGCTGTGGTCAGAAAGGGAACGATCTTCTGATTGTCTTCCTTTGTGTCAGCACCCATTGTTTGCAAACACAGGGCATGGTCCTGTTTGAATCTCTTCTGGTTGTCCTTCATATTTCCAGAAAATGTTAGGTATGGTGGAATTTTTACAGCCATCCTTGCCCTCAGGGTATTTTCCTTTTGCATGGAGTACCCTGTTGTGCTCAATAAGCACCTTTGGCCTAAGGGGCCCAAAGGCGATTCTCTTTGTGCGGTGGCACTCTTCCATCTACCTTTGCTTAACAGAACACGTTTCCTCCCTTAGACTTTCTGTGTCTGTGAAGTTACACTGTGTAAGGTATATTTCCCAATACCACAAGACGTCAGTGCCTTTTTATGGCTAATTCTGAGGGCCAAAGAAAGTTAGATAGGTATTTTTAGTAGCCAGGCGGAGTGAATAATAATCCGAGGTGCTCCCTGTTTACTCAGCAATGACATTATCCCAAGCTGTTTATCTCCTGAGCTTATGGCAGTCAAACTTCTTTAGCCAAGGAAATTGTTATTGCCTCATAAATGGACACATTCTCCAGTTATACACCTGGTTTTGTGTCAAGATGGTTTATAGCAAGAATCAACAGTCAGGTACAGAATGTGCCTCCATAACTTCGTTCTGTTGTAAACCTGTCCTTTACTAGGTGACAACACTACGGCTTGGCTAACAGCAGGGGCTTAGAAAACCTTTGTTTCTTATGGCACAGGCAGGTTTAGTGGGAAATATGAACTTTCATTTCAACCCAGGAGACCTTTGACAATCTTTTCTCC